TCAAAATAGAAATCATCTGAAACAACATCAAACTTCAAGCCAAGGGTTCTAATAATATTATCTTTTTCTAAATTTATTTCCTCAAAATATCTGCGATTGCTAGGAATATCATCCAATATTGATGGATGATTGGAACACCATTTGTGTAAATTAAAGTTACCCAACTTTAATAAATCAATAAGTTCATTTTTAAGTGTAAAAAGTTGCCTGACATCATCACAACCAGCTAGTATATCATCTACATATGTGTTTTTAAGCATAGCTTGAGCAGCAAGTGGATATTTATTCTTATATGTATTTGCTAGCTCTGTCAAGCATCGAGTGGCTAAAAAGGTAGAGGATTTTAGACCGTAGGTGACAGTTTGCAACTGCAGGCAACGTATAGGCTGACTGGGATCATCCCTCCATAGAATATTTTGTAGACTTCTATGATGTTCATTAATGAAAACAGAGCGAAACATCTTCTCTATGTCGCATATTAAAATGAACAAGTACGTTCGAAACAAAAGAAGAATGTCAAAGAGCTCACCCTGCACCACAGGCCCATTCAGCATAATGTCATTCAACGATACCTTACTTTTAGACTTCATACTGCCATCGAAAACCACTCGTAACTTGGTTGTTTTACTGTACTCATTGAATACAGCATGATGTGCTAAAAAATAAACAAAACCATCATTATTATCATAGTAACTAATGTCGACTTCCTTAGCATGATTCATTTCTATATATTGACCAATGAACCTTTTGTACTCTAAAAATAAAGTTGGATTTTGTTTGAATTTACGTTCCAAATATAAAAACCTTTGAAAGGCAACTGAAAAAGAGTCTCCCAATTGTAACTCGCTTATGGGGCAAGTCAGAGGCATGTCCACATAAAATGTGTTATTTATCTTGCACACTGACTTACTAAAAATAGCCTCAGCCTCTTGTAACTCAGTCTGTACCTTAGAAGAAACCTGATCCGGTATTTTTTCAGTTAGCCAGAATTTTTCCATAACAGATTCTAATTTTCTTTCATCACAAACCACAAAATTTGAAACTAAATTAATGTATGAGCTATCATTTGTAAAATTAGCCTTCCCAGCAACCACATAACCAAACACTGTATTTTGTAAAGTAAAACCCTCAGGCAATCTTAAACAGCCACTTAGTAAACAATTAAAATAAATATCAGCCCCCAATAAAATTGAGATTTCAGTAGGTATATTAAAATCACTATCTGCTAATATATTTTTTGGAATATTTAAGTTTGAAATGTCCATAGTGCATTGTGGCTGTGGTTTTGTAATACTATCAACTACATAGCACTTGATTTTATAACTAATATTTTTGTGTAAACATGAAAAAATAGGTAAATGTACAACCTCATTTAATTTGGTGGGCTTGTTTCCAATACCAATTATATTGGTTGGCTGTGAAATAGGATTTGTTGCCAATTTTTTCACCAAAGAATTTGTTATGAAGGATGCCTGGCTTCCACTATCCAACAAAGCCCTAACTATAAGTTCACGGCCATACTTGTCAATGACCTTCACCTTTATAGTAGGTAATAAAACATTACAATCTGAAATGTTAGAATTTGAAATTAATGAAACAGGATTATCCTGCTTATCAGTGTGTAAGAGTGTGTTATGAGGTTCCTTGCAAATTTTGCATTTAAATTTGTAATTACAGACATTGTCTGAATGGTTCCTTAAACAAGTAGAACATAATTTATGATCTTTTACAAAAGTTAAACGTGTCTCTATAGGCAGCATTTTATATTTAGGACAGCTATATAGAGCATGATCCTTTTTATTGCAATAAGCACATATGACATTGTTATGTGTAGATAAATTACTTACCCGCATAGTAGGTTTGAATTTATTTTCAAAAGAGTGTGCTTTAAGAGGAATGGTATCCTCAAGCGCCATAGCACGCTTTTCTAAAAAAGCCAAAAATTCATTGATAGTTGGCAATTGTTCTGGATCACGGTCCAGCTGAAATGCACGATGGGTATATGAATCTAGTTTTTTAAAAAGTACACACAGCAAGAGTCGGTCCCAGTTATCAACTGGTTCATGTAAATTTTTCAATGCACACAGTTGCTGTTTTATATTAGATACAAAGATTCTTAATGAAGAAGCTGTACCCTTCTGCATAGTCGGTATGTCTAAAAGCATATTTATGTGATTGCAAATCAAGCGCGACTTGTTGTCATAGCGCTTCCTAATTAATTCCAATGCTTCTGTGTAAGACTGAGCTATAAGAGGTAGACTCACAATAATGGACAATGCTTCGTCCTGCAAATATTTACGCAAGTGAAATAGTTTTTGAACATCACTCAATGCCTGATTATTGTCTATTACAGCACAAAATAATTCATAAAAAGGCTTAAACTTGGTAAAATCCTTGCCATCAAAGGTTGGTATTTCCACTGTAGGTAACTTTGACACATTGGAACAGGCCGGCTGTGAAGGCTGCGACTTAGTAAGAAATTTAATTTGTTTATTTAGTTTAGCTACAGTAGAAAAGTATTTTTCCTCAAACAAACCTACATCCTCGGGGTCTGCCTGATCCAAACTTAATATGTCTAACTGAATGGCTTCAAAATTTTTTAAACAACTTATAAGTTTATCTTTTCTTGCCTCCAAAATTTCTACAGTAGCCGTAGTTAAATTTGAGGAATCCTCAACATATTTTTGAATTCGAGTTAGCGTTGCTTTACACGAAGAACGGGACAGTTTCAGCTGCTTTATATCACTCATTGCGATGATTGAGCTGGTAGCACGCATATATGATGAAAAGATAGCTCACTCACAAACACTTTTAGCACTTGTCCGAATACGATTAATAATTTCCGCACCTTGATTTGATGTTTCTTCTTTGCATAATAGGAACAATCCTTTTGAAATATTTTCACCAATTCCACTGGTGAAGTTCCGCCGCCGGTAAAAACAGGCATAGGCCCGCCAGGAGCACGCGGTCGAAACACAGGCCAAATTCTATCGCACAAAACTCCACAGATCACCAGTAACTTTACGCAAGACTTCGAAGGACCACTTTTGTTAAGAATAATTATTGATTAAAATTCAGTAATTTATAGAAAACTGTTTAATAATTACTCAAACAATATAATAAGCGGCAGAGTTCATAGTCGCTCCGCCATGACATTCAAAAAGAGTGTTACCAACTCACAAAAATAAAAATAAAGTGGCAAATCATTGCCATTAAAAATATATGTTCTGTCCTGAACAATCGTAAAGAAATCATAGATGTAGCAACCCATTTCTATAAAATACTATATAAAGCACAAGGAAACCAGTGTACCAGCCATAGCAATGCAAATGATATTAACTATACAAACAAAATCGGAAACATAACACGAATAACTGAAAATGAAGTCACACAAGAAATAAATAGGTTAAAGCTAGATAAAAGCCCAGGACCAGACGGCATTACAAATGAAGCTATAAAGGCTGTCTGGCCGCTACTGACTCCCCCATTAACTCACTTATTTAGGCTTATATTAAAAACTGCTGAAATACCATCGCAGTGGGTAGAGTCAGAAATAATTTTAATTTACAAAAAAGGTGACCCAAAAGATATCACAAACTACAGGCCTATAAGCTTACTCTCATGTATCTACAAACTGTTTTCCTCCATAATTAACAAAAGAATAAGTGTCACAATAGAAGCAAACCAACCAATAGAACAAGCAGGCTTTCGCAAGCGCTTTTCCACAATCGATCATATACATAGTCTAGAACAAACAATGGAAAAATACCAAGAGAAGCAAAGAGCGCTCTACATCGCATATATTGATTATAAAAAAGCTTTTGATACCGTGTCACATTCGAGTATATGGACCGCCCTGCAAGCTCAAAAAGTTGAACAAGACTATATAGATATAATCATAAATATTTACAAAAGTAGCACAGCAAAAATACAACTAGAATCCACTGGTCCTACGTTCTCCATCGGAAAAGGCGTGAAACAAGGGGACTCGTTGTCTCTAAAATTATTTATATCTATCTTAGAGTCATAATAAAAAGATTCAACTGGGAAAAGACAGGATTAAACATCACCAATCATCAAAACAATCAATGGCAAGTATTTATCCCACCTACGCTTCGCAGATGACTTAGTGCTGCTGTCAGAATCTAGCATATAATTACAAAACATGATTGACTCACTAAACACAGCTAGTAAGCAGATAGGACTAGAAATGAATCTTTCGAAAACAATGGTCATGACAAATAGTATACAGAGAAGAATATCAGTGGACAATGAAACTTGACTGCACAGATGGCGTAGTGGTTTAAGCGGTCGCCACGCCGCTTCCTACTACGCCGAGTGTTGTGGGTTCAAACCCCACATGGGACGACACTTTGTGTGATCCACAAATTGTTGTTCTGAGTCTGGGTGTTCTTTGTGTCCGTTTCATGTATGTTTGTAAAGTCCCCCGCGACACAGGATTTATTCCTAGTGCGGGAGTTGTCTTTAAAAAAAAAAAATGTACTTATACGAGTACGTTAGATTCCTAACGTATGCACAGTATCACCTAAACCGAAACTTTAGACGTCATTGGAAAGTTAACCACTGATACTTGCAGCGACTTGGTCTTCATTGTAATAAATCAAAGGTGGGATAGTCTTCAGACAAACAATTTAATGCAAAAAATAAACATAACAGAAGAATAAGAACTGCTAATAAGAGGGAAGTTAGTATTAGTTTCCAATTTAAAAGTCCATCACAATTGAATTTTAACGAAATCGAAAACTCGTCTCTCTTCATATGTACTTACATACCTCCAGCTAACGGATATTTATTTCTTCTTCAGACGAAAACCAAAACAGGACGTTTGCGGCACTGTAATGCTCTACGAGGCTGATACCGAGTACCAAACCCGGATGTCGTCAGCGCAAGTGGTCTTCTGATATCCTATAGTGGGTCGCGTCGTCTTCCGACAGCCGCAGGACCGGCCTTGGAAGGACACTGTCATTATTGTTGAGAGTATGGTTAGTATTGGGCAAGCGGAAGTTACACCGTGTGTGTCTAAAACGAATACAGATTCAGTTCTGGCATTTGTGCCGCTTATATTATAAAGAAAGCTCATTTGTGGTAGAACGTGAGCATAAATATTATAAAGATATATAGTATGTTTGAAATCTTCATCACTATAGATTATATAATTATGTTTATCTATGTTTATAACTACGGGATATCACTCTAGCTGTAAGTCTAGGAAGAGATCTCGCTGTGATAATCAACGACTGAAGTAGTTGGTTACAAAACATTACTAATAGTCTTCTCTTGTTAAGTTTGGACGTCTTTTGACAATATTAGTACTACTAGCATACTATAAACGATACAAAAAGACTACCCTTGAGTCATCAGTTGTCTTGATGCGAGAGATACTTACCATACTACCTTCTCAACCTTTACTTGATCGAAACATCTACCTTTTCTTTCAGACAAACAGGCATGAGAGTGCGTATGTGGTAGATGGTGATGAAAACACATACGTGATTGGTTGATTACAGCTTAGTAGTTACCATTACTGAGCTAGCATTATATCTTACAGGTGCATGCGGACGGAGCGAACGTAAACAACTCAGCAGATCACCGGTGGGCGATTCACAAGCACGCCCCGGGGGCTGACTACTACAACTGGACCGCTCGGTGCCTTAGCGCCGGCCAGGTGTACCAGCCTCACTTGTTGGACATTGACACAAGGCACCCGGAGTCCTACTGCAGGCCAGGCCTTGAGGGACTTTGCCAACTCGGAGACTTCACTACGAGGTATTTAATAAGCACTAATAGTAATATACTATAGTGACGTATTTTTTCTTCTGTTGTGAGAAGAAATGGCAGGAGCATAAATTATAGACTTGTTTGTTGCTGGAATGAGTTTTTAGTTTGACATCAATATTTTTAATAGTTAGTTAATTTACAATGGAATCTCGTCCTTCGTAAATATCAATCGTTGTTGATAAAGATATATGTATCATTTTGAGATCCTATTTGAGATATATTTATTATCCTATCCCTCGAACCCTTTGCTTATAAACAAGGATCTTTTATCTTAGGTCAAGTGGATTGCATTTTCGATAGTTTTTGTTTTTACCACATTTACACAACACCATCTAGTCCCAAACTAAGCAGAGCTTGTACTATGGGTACTAGACAACTGATATAAATACATATATACTTTTTTTTTGTAAATACATACATATTATACATAGAAACACCCAGACCAAATCAAACATTAAAAGTTCATGCACACAAATGTTTGACTTGACCGGGAATCGAACCCGCGACCTTTAGAATAGCAGTCCGTTACACAAACCACTACGCCATCCGGTCGTCTAGAGTTAGAAGAAACTTAATAAGTTTGGATCCAACCCGAAACAATGGAAAGTAGTCCTTTATTTAAAGTCTACCGTGGGAGAGCCATGCTTCGGCACGAATGGGCCGGCTCGACCGGAGTACCACGGCCTCACAGAAAACCGGTGTTAAGCAATTCTTTCGTTGCCTTTCACTGAGTGAGTGAGGTTACCAGAGCCTTAATCCCCTCGCGATGACTCGAGTCTGAGGAACTCCAAGGGCAGCAACGCACGTGTGACTTTTGAGTTGCAGGTGTCCAGGGGCGGCGGTAGTTGCTTACCATCAGGTGACCCGTCTGCTCGTTTGCCCCCTTATACCATAAAAAAAATGGCTTGAACTACTTGGAATATTGACATAACATTTTATCTCTGCTAACGAGCACACAAAGTGACAGTAAGGGCTCACCTGTGCCCATATCACTCCCAACGCTGTCCTTCTCGCATTCCAAGCACATATATTCTAGTTATTATAATAGGATATATATTTATTTTATTGTTACTTTCGGAAAATCTTCAATTTTTAAAGGCAAGTTCCGTTAGAAAGATACATGTAATATTTAAGTTTCAAATACTTTGGCGGCACGGATGGCGTAGTCGTTTAATCGTTGTGGTCTGTTTGTTCTGAGTTTGGGTGTCCGCATCATGTATGTCTGTAAAGTACACAGGATATAATCCTAAAGCGAGAGTTGTCTTGTGACAAAAAAAAACTTAATTGGAGATCATAAACCAACAAATAAATGTTGAATAATATTAACACCTTTTTGTTAATGCCTGTTGTGAAACCAGATCCAAGATACTGTGAGTTTGATTGTAGATGTAATCTTCCAGACACGGCACGTTGTCAGTGGCCGGCAAGAAGGCAGACTCTGCTCGTCTGACTCGGCGCCTGTTCACGGACAGCGTGATCGCGTTGGCGGGCAAGTACGCCATCATGAGGAAGTCACTCGTCATATTCGACGATCACGGGCCTCTTTTCATCGCGAGAAAGTTTATGTTTGTACATTTTGAAATGCAGGTGGCGTCTGTTCAAATTCCTATTTAAGAGGGACGTTTGAACGGCGCCACCACACAAAGATTTCTTCTTTTGAAAATATAGCATATCATTCTGTGTTATTTAATTTAATCAAATTGTAAGGTTTTACCAAATAAACCGTTTTCGAAAATGTTCAAAATAAACGAATTTATTGAAGAGCCCTGAAGACCCCCGTTACTGAACATTTTGGTCCTGCGGCCGGATCACGGAGAAGCACGTCGAAGTACGGAATCGCCCGTCTTCTCATCGCATCGTGAACTGGACTGCAGCATTTATCAGCTCAACGGTCAGGTCTTCAAACCCGTTTACTCCTCAAATATCCGAATTTGTTTAAAATCGTGTTATTGTACTTTACAGAATCGTTGTGCCGTGATTACCGCTCAGGTGAAAACCGTAAGTACCTTGTATTTTCTTTCCTGTAAGCCTTGTAATGGGTGGTGAAGATAAATTAGTAGTACCTCTGAGTGGGTCGTCAATTTCTCTTACTAAAAAAGTTGTGGGTAACCTTACTGACCTCAAAAAGCAGCGGGGTAACATAAAAAGTAGATTTACCAACTTTAAAAAATATTTAGATTCATTTCAAGATGTTACCCCATCTCAAATTCAAATTAAAGAAATTAAATTTCGAATGCAGGCTAGCAACGACCTTTTTAAAACTTTTAATGACATTAAGGGTCAAATAGAACTTCTCTGTTCAGAGATAGACGTTGCTTCAAATATTGAATACGTAGAAACTCTTGAAACAATATATTTCAACGTATTAGCTACTGCCGAAAGTTTGATTGAGGATGGAGGGACTAGTGAAAATTCTTGTAATTTAAAATCAAATTGTAACGGTCATTCTTCTCATGCCAACATCAAGTTGCCGGAGATAAAACTACCCACTTTCGATGGATCTTACGATCACTGGCTTGAGTATAAAAATTCGTAGGGTAAAAGCCGGATAGTTGCCTCAGACGGATATTTGCCCTGGTTTTGAATACACTATGATAGGAGTATTAGTTATGTTAGCGCTTTACTACAATAAGAAGTGACCCCCCACAGGCCTCAGTGCCATGTAAGCAATCGGGGTAGGCGAACGTGTTTTGTCCGTGTGAGCAAAAATCTTCCGCTGTAAAACGCTGACGGGCGTTGATCTTATTTTGGTAAGTAATTTTAGTTGAATATTTTTATTATTGATCGTGCTTTCAGTCAACTTTTTGTTTCTTTGTATGCATTAGAGTCTAAATTACAATGTATATTATGTTTTATTACTCAATAGTTTTTTTTTTTTTTAAATAAAAAGGGCAAGTATCCGCATTAAAAAGGATAGTCGCCCTACTTACTTTTGCGGATAGTTGCCCCTAGAGTGACTGTAAATTATTCTTCATCGAACAAGCACAGTTTTTTTTTCTTTTGTTGTTTTTTTTTCAATTTACTGTGACTTATAACTTGTTTTAAACAAAATAAATAGTTAACTGTTTTATATATTTATTTTAGGAAAGCAAAATGCCAAGCAAATGCCAAAATGAAAGAAAAAAAAATAAAGAATATTTAATAATGTTAATTAATATTTTAATGTGTACTTAATAAAAGATCTCATTAAATTATGAAGACTGATAAATAAATGATAAAGATTAATTAAATTGACATAAATTTATTTTAAATTTAATATCCCAAAAAAACATATATCGAGGTGACTATCCTCGCACGAGGCAAGTATCCCTCGAAGGATTTTCCACGCTAGGCTACTATCCGCCACAGTAGGCAACTATCCGTTTTTTCAGAGGCCAAATAAAACAGGATTTAAATAAAACCAATGTTAATTATGTTAACAAAAATAGGCTATAATAGAAGATAAAAGACCTATGTTATAAAATACATATCGTATAATTGTCAGCAAGTAAATATACCACCATGATCCACAAGCGTACAGACTTAGATGCGATTCAGAAATTCCATTATTTAAGATCTTCACTCAGTGGCGCTGCCTTGCATGTTATAAGTGCATTGGAATTCACGGCTACAAATTATTTACATGCGTGGGAACTGCTAGGAAATAGATTTTATAATACTAAACTTTTGGTACATAATCATTTAAAATCTTTATTTTCTATAGCAGCTTTAAAACAGGAATCGGCGTTACAAATTAGGAAGTTAATTGACACTATCTTACGAAACATTCGTGCCCTTAAAACGTTAGACGAACCTACTGAGTCCTGGGATACCTTAATTATATATTTAATTGCATCAAAACTCGACTTTAATACGGAACGCGACTGGGAAAGACATAAAAGCTCAATTATCATTGATTCCTCTCAGAAGTTGAAGTTGGAGGATTTGCTTACATTTCTCAGAAATAAAGCGGATATGTTGGAAATGATAATTGCAAGTCATAGTAACTCACAAAACAAACCGCTTGTCACCGAGACAAAATCTATTCAACATAAAAATAACGCGTCGGTACATAGTTATGTATCTACATCGACATCTACCGGTTCTAAAAGCAAATCATCCAATATTAATAACAGTAAACGTAATATAAATAATTGTCCTTCTTGTAACGGTAATCACTATTTATATTCGTGTTCTACCTTCCTAAATTTACCTATTCAGAAAAGAATTAAGTTCGTTGATCATAAACAAATATGTCGCAATTGTTTACGGATAGGACATCTACTTGCGGATTATCGTTTTGGTCCGTGCAAGATATGTGAACGTAAACACAATTCATTACTTCATTTAACCGTTACCGATCGTTAGACGTGTGTAGGTAGCGGGAGCACAGCTGATCACAGTTTGTCTCAAACTACAACGTCGACGGCGCTGCATTCTTTATCTGTTGATAATAATGCGAAATGTTATCACTATAAGCAATCGGTATTGCTATGTACGGTATGGTTGACGACCATAATAAGCGAATTGTCACAGCCCGGGCGCTGTTGGACAATGGAAGTCAACACAGTTTTATTACGGATACCTTGCGAAAAAAAAATAATGCGTCTACCATACAGTCCACTGTACAAATTATCGGTGTGGCACAATCCGTGACACAATCGAGTCAATCGTGTAAAATAATAATGCGTTCTAAACTATGCGATTACACTACCACGGTCCAATGTTTTATCTTAGAGCGTATTACGAACAGTTTACCCTCAACAAACATTGATACCAAAAATTTACGTATACCGCCTAATGTTCAACTTGCAGATCCTACCTATTACAAACCTTCCGAAGTTGACTTATTAATTGGTGCGGACCTGTTTTGGGACATATTGTACGGTGATAGGATTCGTTTAGTTAATGGACCTTATCTTCAGAACTCAAAGCTACTCGTAGGTTGGTTGATATCTGATCCTATTAACACAGATAATGTAAGCGTTGAGCAAAAAATTAATTGTAACTTTACTCAAAGTTTAAGTAACCAGATGGAACGATTCTAGGAGTTAGAAAATTTACCACAGCCAGGTAATGTCCTCACCAAAGATGAACAATTGTGTGAGGAGATATTTCTTACCACCACAAAGTGCGAGACTGATGGTAGGTTTTCTGTACGTATCCCATTGAAGGAATCACCTGGTACTTTAGGCGATTGGTATACCATGGCAAAGAATAGGTTCATGTCACTGGAACGTAAGCTAGAACATTTCCCTGACTATAAGCGTAGGTACTGCGATTTTATGCGTGAGTACGAGGACTTAGGCCACATGACGCGTATCGATAATATCGAAAACCCAAACTATTTACTACCACATCACGGGGTGTTTAAAGAAAGCAGTACTACCACTAAACTGCGAGTAGTATTTGAAGCAAGTGCCCCGACTACGTCACAAAGGTCACTGAATGATATTCAGTTACCAAGCCCAAAGCTGCAAAATGATATCTTCTCTATTCTGCTGCGGTTCAGGCAGTATAAATACGTTGCCTGTGCAGATATAGAAAAGATGTTCAGGCAATCCTGGATCCAACAGGATCAGAGATCATTACAACTTGTCCTTTGGCGGGAGAAACCCGTGGATCCTCTAAACGTCTATCAACTTAATACAGTTACCTATGGGACTGCATCGGCACCATACCTAAGTATGCGCTGCATACGGCAGCTAGCCTTGGACTGCGGTGATGATGTCATCTCACGCGTCATCCTTAACGACCTATTCGTTGATGATTTGATAACGGGTCATGATAGATATGAGGAATTATTATTGATTTGTGAGAAAATTTCAAGGGTGCTGCAGTCTGGTGGGTTCACACTTCGCAAGTGGACGTTTAACTCTGACGTAATACGTAGCGCGCCGGTTGATATGTTCGCCGACGAGCATACGCAAAACAAAACGCTTGGCATAGGCTGGGATAACGATGGGGTGCTAGGCTAGAAAACCTCCCCGTGGTGCACCCTGGAAACGCTGGCGATGGCACTGCTTCCTCCTTGTCCACTTGGAGGAGAGGATTATCGCCAGCGGCTAATATTCTAGCAGAAGAGGTAGCCGTTCATCGGCTCTCGGGCAAGGCCTGGTCCAGCAGGGTGGGCGTGTCTGCCGGTTGCCCTGCTGGCTCTTCGCTCTTCGGAACATGGAGAAGGGAACCTCGGTAAAAAAACCCGGATGGCGGGGCCCTGTAGGGGCCACAGTTTCTCCGCTGACAGCGGTGGAGAAAGGAGGACGGGCTCGGCGTGTACTGACACTACCACCGAGCAGGCAGGGGGACGTAGTCTCCCTGTCAACCGTCGGCATATCGTAATCCCGAGAAGAGCGCTGTGGTTAAGTCTCGCGGCTCTGATCGGGGGCGAGGGTCTTGGCTTAACCGCCCGGACCGCGAGGAAGATAACCTCTCTAAAAAATTCCCCGAATCCCGTGTTCTGGTGCGTGGCCAGGGGATGCATGGCTGATGGGAAGTTTAGTCTCGAGCGCACTCCGAGCCGAGGTACCTGCGGACCCCTCGGTTGGGTTAAAAACTTACGCTTGCCCGGGTAATGGGGGATCTCTGCCCGGGTGGACCTTTAGTTCTCCCCCACTCGTGGGATTATTATGGAA